TTGAGATGGAGTTAGGGGAGAGGCAAATAAAACTGACTGCATAAAACCCTTCAAGGTTCATCATATGCTGTTGCATTTGTTTTAATATGTTTGTTTTAATTAAGAAAGGGATTTCCACATTGGGCATTCGTTCACATTTCAAGATCCCTGAACTCTGTTGCAGTAGGAATAATTACAACCCTGGAGTTTTATGTCTCTCAGCAGTGTCCTTTAAAGCAATTTGGATTGTTTCAGTGGAGATGAAAGACCGTGTGGATTTCTTTTCCCCTATTAATCTGGCTCAGAATGCCAGACCTCCTGGGTAGGTTTACTTAGCTGCAACGTTTGTCCCTGTAGTTTAATCCGCAGATGTTGGGTTGGCGCATGTGACATTGCAAGTAAGGAGATGCTTCAGACCCTCTGATTCGGAGGATACACACTGAGGACATTAACACCTTCCAAATGCTACCCTGTGGTTCATTGTCAACAATGTATTTTGTTTTCCCCTCCTTTGTGGTTCCCAACAATAAATTAATTGTGCTTTCAAAAATCAGTGTCATGGGAACAAAGCAATCAGTGACACCATCTGCTACCAGAAGATTTCTATAGATGAAGGAGTAGCATATCTCCATTGCTCAGGAATCCTGATAGACCCTGAAGTTGACAGCATCCCATTCTTGCAAAGACATCAGGCTGGGCCATATTGGAGAAATGGCTCTGCCAAGCCAAGGTTAATAAATGGCTGCAGAAGTGGCAGGTTAGGAGCAGATGCATGGGAATGTCGTGTTGAATATTGCAGTAAAAAGATAGTTGCTCCAAGCTATAAAGGGATTTAACAAAATATGTACGCTTACTGTCCACATACTCCCAAGAAGTTCTTAGATGTTAATGTGCTGCTATATAATTGCCAATGATTCCCAACTTTTTTTTATCAGGGACGACTTGACCAGGGACCACTTTGACCAGGGACCACTCTCCAACATTAGTACTGAAAGGGTTAAAAATCAGTTTTTGGTCAACTTTAGATTCGGTTTGGTTATTTGGGGTTCTGATTCAGAAAATTCCATTGGATAGATCACATCAGCTCTAGTTACTGATACAGAATATATGCCATCCAGTAGTTGCCATCTGCTCGCCCACAGAAAACCATATTTAATATTCTAGAGCTGATGTGGTAGTAGTAATATTTCGTGAGTAGTTAGCCTCTCCCCTCCCAACATCCCCGTTGTCTCGACACTACAAGAGGGTTTCGCGAGACCAGACACTTTCGCTGCTATGTGGTTTCAAGGCAACAGAGTCGTAATGGTGAGGCGGTGGACCATATTTTCATTCTTGGGAACCACTGGTGGTCCACGGACCACAGGTTGGGAACCACTGATATCTGGGATATGGAGACCATTGGACAATGGAGTGTTAAGTATGCAGCTTGAACTTTAGTATTATGCAACCTTTATATTTTCATGAAATCTAGTTTGGGATGAAGGCAACTCCCTTCATGTCTTCAGTTTCAGCATGTTCACAAAACAGAATAGCATTACGTACTATACAATGCTTCCGCCTTTATTATTTGTCTTTATTCTAACATTTTTCTATTGTCCAACTCAGACAAGTTTACATCACATTATGAATGTCTAAAATATAAATAAAACAACCATTATGTTCTGTAATTGATTATATGTATGATGGCCATATATAAATATGTGAGGGGAAGTCATAGAGAGGAGAGAGCAAGCTTGTTTTCTGCTGCCTTGGAGAGTAGGATGCAGAACAATGGCTTTAAACTACAGGAAAGGAGATCCCACCTGAACATGAGGAAGTACTTCCTGTGAGAGCTGTTCAGCAGTGGATCTCTCTGCCTTGGTGTGTGGTGGAGGCTCCTTCTTTGGAGGCTTTTGAGCAGAGTCTGGATGGCTATCTGTCGGGGGTGCTTTGAATACGATTTTCCTGCTTCTTGAAAGGGGGTTGGACTGGATAGCCCACAAGGTCTCTTCCAATGCTATGATTCTATGATATAAAATGATATGGGTTGAACTTTTAATTTGTCAACATTTTTCAAAGCCCCTGCCAGTTCAGACCTACAGGACTGTCTTCTAAAGCATATCTGAGGAATCTGAAATCTGTGATATCTAAAATTCATGTTGTACAAGTTTGTAAGGATGACATTCTTACAGACATTGTAATTCAGATTCAAAGGCTCCCTTACATATCTAAGTATTTGGCTTTGTAGCTCATGGGTGCCTATGTCTTCTATATAATGTCAGAAATATTGAAGTCAATGCCAGCGAGATAGTGTGTGACACCTTTGCCTGCAAAGCTGAAACGAGAGCAAGAAAATGTAATCATCAAGAGAAGAGTGACAGGTAGAAAGTACAAGTTGAGTATCCCTTATCTGAAATGCTTGTAGCCAGAAATGTTTTGATTTTAAATTCTTTTGAATTTTCAAATACCTGTATTTGCATGTGCATATCTAATGAGATATCTTGGAGAGTGACCCAAGATATTCATTTATGTTTCATATAGACCCTATACAGGTAGTTTTATGCATAATATTTTTTAATAATTTTGCACATAAACGTTTGTGTACATTGAATAATAAGAAAGCAAAAGTGTCACTATCTCAGGCTCCCATTTGGGAAAAAATTGGATTTTGGAATTCTGAACAAGGAATGCTCAACCTGAATCAGGTGAAAGACTTGGATCTGTAGTTCAAAGGCAGAGTCCATGCTTTTCATTCAGATGGATAGAGGTCTGATTTATTGCATCCATAACTAAGACCCTTGTCTGAAATGCTAGACTGCTGCTTCCAGTCAGTGGCAAACTTGGCCTAAATGGTTTAAGTCAGCATAAATCAACATCCTATGTTGCTGAGATATCCTAAAATCGACCAAAGTTATTGATCACAATATATGGACTGAATATATGGACTGAGTTGGACATGATTTTATCTTGGCAAACGGCTTTTATGTAATTTATCCTATATGTATTTGTTAATTTAATGTTTTAGATTTTTAGTGTTAGCATTGAATCCTTGCTGTCAGCTAGTCTGAGTCCCTCTATGGAGGTAGAGAAGATCGGGATATAAAAGTTTTAAATAAATAAATAATAAAATCAGGAAAGCGAATCTTTGGGACAATGCAAAATACATGCCATTGTACTCATCTGTCTTCAGCTAGTCACTTCATGTCTGTATGTAGCAGTCACTTTGGACACTTTGGGAAAGACTTGTGATTCATATGTTTTGTGCAAGGGAAACAAATATACTCTGTTTCTCATGGTATGCTTATCTGGGCAGATGATGCTTTTGTTTGATGACGCTCCACAGCATTTCTTTGTGAGATGTCACAACAAATGAACTGCCTATTTAATCAGAAAATTAAAATTCACCTGCATGTGTTTCTATTTGTTGACACAGCTTCCTTCTGCAGCTCGTCATTTGATTTTGGTGTAACAATAGTAATATTGGTCCAAATCACAAATTCATTGTCAGTGTGTTTTCATGCCATCTGTATTTCTTTCTGTTTCTTCAATGTTACTGAAATAAGTTTAGCGGGAGGTTTTGGAAAGAGTTGTCATCCTCTCCTGTCACTTAGGATAGAAAGGTTTAATCTCTATTTTTAGCTAACGTTAAGCTCATGTTCACCAAAACTCTCACCTGCCAAGTTTGCCCTACAAGCATAAACTACTTCATAATCCTGGAAGTGTAATTCTTTAAAAGAGCCAGGGATTTCTTACAACTCGCAGCACTCTCTTTTACAATTCCTCAGGTTTTTTTGGTTGCATCCCTACAATTAAACTATTTTACATCATATTGTATGTTGTCAAAATCATACTGATATCCTGATGTATAATTGTACCCAATTTCAGTATCTGTTTCTGACCCAACCACACACTAACAACACCTTGAACTGAAATATTTACTGATATCCTTGGAAAACATTCAGTCTGAGGGCCCAAAAGCCAACTTCCATGTGTGTTGTATGCAAATATTGTTTCATCTGGGTGATTTGACAAATTAAAGCATGGAAAACTAAGAAGAACTAAACATAAAAATAGAAAATAGGAAAACAACAACAACAACAACAACAACAATGGGAAAATGTAATTGTGGTGCATAAAATTATGCCTAGCATGATGAAACTGTAATAGAGCAAATTTGTTCTCATTCTTTCAAAATATTAGAACGTAGTATCATAAGTTGGGGTTGAATGGTGGGAGGTTTGGACAGTCAAATAAAAGTAGTTCTTCAAACAGTCCAGTTAAATCAGGCATGGGCAAACTTTGGCCCTCCAGGTGTTTTGGACTACAACTCCCAGAAATCCCAGTCAGCTTACTGACTGTTAGGTATTGTGGGAGCTGAAGTTCAAAACACCTGAAGGGTCAAAGTTTGCCCATGCCTGAGTTAAACGGAAGTACTTGATACCAAAAGAAGTAAAGATTACTTCCAACTTGGACAGCTTAAAAGGTAGATTGGGCAGATTTGTACAGGATTGGTACAGGATACTTCTATCAGTGGCTACTGGCTATGCTGGATATACTACATTACGCCCAGTATTGAAGTTAGCATACCTCTCGAAACCGTTTGCTTAGGATCATAAGAAAAAAATGCTGTTGTAGAATGTGTCCAACTTGTGAGCTTCTCATTGTCAAGTGCTTGACCACAGAATGCTTTACTAAATAGATCTGATCCAACATGGCTCTTCTTAGGTTCTTATCTTTAAAAAAATGATGTCCCATGTTTCCCAAAAGAAGCTACGTAACAAGTGGGGCCCACAAATTGGTGAAGCAGATGGATGGATGTTTTGAAGGTTAGCCTTACTTGATCAACTCCGGTTTGCCAGGGAGGTCTCTGTGGGCAAATGTAAAGCCAAGTCTCTTTTGCTGAAGTGCCAATATATCATTAAGGTAGTGGGGTGTAATATGAAATTAGTTTTCTCCATATGGGGAGGGTTTGCTTAATTTAAAAAGAGACAAAGAACTGGCCTGTTGAACTGTATTTTTATCATCTTTCTCTTTCCTTTCAGCCAAGAAGACCTGTGCAGAAACTGATTTTACCTGCAACAATGGCCATTGCATTCCATCAAGGTGGAAATGTGATGGAGAAGATGAATGCCCAGATGGGTCTGATGAATCTGAAGCAACATGCAGTAAGTATGCCTGCTAAGTGACTCTGTAATTTAATTTTGCAGTGCTGTATGTATTTGTGTATGTCTAGAAATTTCATTCTTAAAATTAACCCCAAAACCTAACTTCACAAATCAGTGTAAGCATTGTACTTCTGTGAGTAGAGTGATGAAAGGCAAGAGCTTCATCCATTCTGGGAGAACTTAAATGAAACACTGGCCCCCTGCACTCTCTCTACTGCGGCCCCACTTCTGACTTTTTTGAATGTCTGGGTATGGAAATGGTGGCAATGTTGTCCAGGACAAATGGCTCCCTAGATGGTACTTTCTCCTTCTGTGAAATGATTCTTGACCTGAGTTGCTGTGAGTTTTCTGGGCTGTGATGCCAGCCATGAAAGCTTTCGAGAACCATCAATCCTTGACCTATTTATGGGTCATTTCAAAATCTAATTTTGGCATCTAAACCTCCCCCGCCCCATGTATACATGTGGTTTACTTGTATACTCAAGTATACATGTATAATTTGTAAAGGGGACTAGCAAAATAAACAGATTCTCTCTTCTTTCTGCTCTCTCTCTCTTGCTCTCTCTCTCACTGACACACACATAACACAAAGATGTACACAAACACATCTACTGCCACCACATTACTGACAGCACTTTCAACTAGAAAATTTACTGATACTCTTTTAAAAACCTTCAGTTTGAGGGCCAATAAGCTAACCCAATCCTTCTGTCTCACTTTATACAAAGCAATAACATTTACCTTTGGAAACTTGCTTGGTTGATCTCTGTAAGCAACAGAGAAAATTAATTCACTTTAGAGGGAAACTACTCAAAGAGTAGCTCAGATCAAGAGATCATCTAGCAGAATGGAAATTGAATGGCACAAAGAAAAGGGAATCTTTGATACCATGAAAATGGTAATAATGAATTTCTTTTACTAAAATGCTGTAAGTCGAAACAATAAACCTAGGGCTTGGAAACCTAGGGCTTGGAAATTGGGTATCTTGTTTACTTTGACATCAAGCATGTTATTTATGCCAGAGTGTTACAGAAATGAAACAGAGTCTGTTGGGAAATGAGCCTACTGTAATTTGGTGTTGTGATGCCTTGCTATACCTATAATAATGGCTATACACAATGCAAGTGAATTGTATTGTAATTCTTTCTTCCCTGTGTAGAAACATACTGATACAGATTTTTTGTAAGAATCCCATTGGAATTCAAATTAGAAGTGGTTGTATTCAGACATGTGTTTATGTTTTAAAAAACAAACTGACTCATGTATCAGTGCTGGTAATTTTGCTCTCAAATGCTGATTCGGAGCTGGTGATGTTGTTCTCAAAAGTTGATTAGATGCAGATTTAAATCTTCCTGAGACAACTACCCAAAAGTCTGCCAGAACTCAGGTTTTAGATCCTATGAACCCAAAGATTTGGGAGAGTGGTGATGGCTCTCAACTGCTTCCATGCATATAGATATCAATGTCTAGGAAAAGATTGCATTATTTCCCAGCTAGGATGTAAATCTGCCAGAATCAGTGATTTTTCTACTGACCCAATGGCTTCAGTGACACTTTGAGAGGAATCCATCTCTCCTAGCTTCCATGGGGTGCTTTATAAAATCAATATATTGATCTCATATTATAATTGCATTGCAGCTCACATCTTTCAGGGAAAGCATGACATTTATAAAACTGTGCTCAAAATGGGTAGCAAAATGAAAGGAAGGTAGTGACTCCCCTCCACAAAAAGTAGAAAAATGCTTGCAGTCATAGAAGCCAAATGTTGCAAATTTTCTCTGTAGGATACATTTATCTGCGCATGTGACATAGTTGTAAGTGTCAGGAAAGCCTCCGCTTTTCTTTTGTTATCTTTTACTGTGTTGTTATTCTCATCCTTTGGGACACATCATTCATTTTCCATTGATCTGAAATAGTGGAGAGTTATTAAATGGCCACCAGTGCTGACTAGGTGAGGATTTAGCCCAAGGAAAAAATGAACTTAAATATCTATATCTATATCTATA